TGAGACTGATTAACTGAGTCCCTGCGTGGGGTCCAGGTGTCAGTATGGGAAGAGCCCCAGGCGATGCCATGTGTGGCCAAGTTTGAGGAGCACTGCTCAAGGGAAGGCCTTCCTGGTGGAGGCAAGCGCCAGCTCCCCCCGCCCCCCTCCAGCCCACCTGCCCTCTCCCTCTGGGGTTTGGATCAGGCAGGACTTTGCAACCTGAACCAGCCTCCTAGCTCCAGGGAAGTGGCTTAAGGACGGGACTTGGGGCCCAGGGCGCTCTTTGCTACCTCCATTTGCCCCCCTTAGAAGCAGGGGCACAGGCTGTGGCTTGGTTTGAATTTTTCTTGGCTGAGGGGTCGCAGGAGCCCGGGCAGTGCGGGGCTGTGACCCAGTTCTCCAGCCCCAGACTTGGCCGTGACCTGGCTGGCCAGGGCGGCAGAGTTCTGCGTCCTATCGGCCCAGCAATCTAGGACTCCACGGAAAGGTTTCCCTGGTGCAGGCTGGAGAATGACCTGGGTTATCCTAGCTTCATCGACTGGTCTGGAATGACCTAAATTGGCAGGACAATATCCTTAAAAGGACAGTCTTCTAGATTTTGGAAGGGAAAATCTTAGGGTGTGGTGCAAAGCTTTAGGGTACAATGGGGAGAGACTGTCTTGGGAATTTAAAGACTTAAGACTCAACTTGGGTTTATTCTTTCACTTGGCAATATCCCCTGAGTCCTGGGTTGGGTGTCAAGCCAATGATGAACCAGACAGGTACACTCCTGGCCCCTCAGGGCTTGCAGCCCATGACTTCCAGGTGAAAGCAAAGTGGGTAGATGAGAGCTTCTTGACCCTCCACCCCGAGGGCTCAGAAGGCCCACTGTCCCTCTTTGCTCTGGGTCCATCTCCCCACGAGACTGAGCCCCCCTGAGGGCAGGAATGAGTCCTGTCCACTTTGCAAGTGGCCATAGGCTGTGGAATCAGATGAGCTTGGGTTCAAACCCTGAAGTGGCTGCTTATCACCCGGGATGACGCCCACCCAGGGAGTTATAGCCCCGTGTAAAGCGTGTGAAGCTCTCAGCCCGCCCCGCCATGCTGAGCACTCAGCAAAGAGCAGCTGCTTTTCTTACTCTTCCTGCAAGTGCTATTGTCATCTGGCCGCTCCTGTGGGGTCTGGCCACATGGGGCCTGGCTTAGAGCCAAACTGGCTGGACGTGGGTCTGGTGTGGCCAGTCCTGTTCCTCCAGGGCAGGACCTCTGCTGGCTGCTGGCCTGGCAAAGCCTCTCTCTCTCTCTCTCTCTCTCTCTCTCTCTCTCTCTCTCTCTCTCCCCAGAGCTGTAAGTTAAATGCAGGATCTCAGGTTCCAGCCTCTGGGAAAGGAGACACCGCATCCAGGCTCCGTTTCCACCCATTGTTGTCCATAGCATTGTTTTCCCTCCACGGCTGCCTCCTCCCGTTCAGCCCCGCCTGCAGCAGCCCCTCCCATCCTTGTCTGAGTAGAGGAGGGGGTTTGCTTTTCTGTCTTTTATTTCATTTTTCAGCCATGTGCCGTTCTGTCAGGAGGGCAGAGCAAGGCGCATACCCCCATTTTACAGAAGGGGAACCCGAGGCCCGGAGAGGGTGGGTGGCCAGCCCAGGGCCACAGTCTATCAATGCCTCAGTGAGGACTGTAGCCCAGGGCTCATGACTCCCAGCCAGTGTGCTTTGTACTAGTGAGCTGGTTCCAGGGCCGTGGGCGCAGTAGGGATGAGAAAAGGGATTTCTGGGAAACCAAGAGGCCTGCAGAGGTTTTGTGAGGAGCAGCTGGGGTTCCCTTCTAAGCTTGTCCTGGGGTCACTGGCAGGAAGTTCAGGATTTGTCCGCTCCAGGCTGGGGAGACAGGTGCAAGCCTGGGCGCAGCTCCCCTGGGCCCTCCCTGAGCCGGGGTGGGAGGCTGGCCTCTCCTGCTTTGTGGGGTGTGCGCTGCTGCCCGGTGGTGGCCAGGCGTGGCCCCTTCTCAGAGGGAGAAATGGAGGCAGGGGGGGGGGGGCGGGGTGGAGAGACTCCCACCCAACAAAGCCTCGCGGGGGTGGCCAGGCCCAGGAGTAGCTACATCCTGAGGAGGCTTCAAATCAAACCTAGAAGTGAACTTTGAACCCCGGCTTTGCCCCTCACAGCTCTGCCACGGGGGTCGGGGGTGGGGGTGGGGGGACACTCGTGTTCTCGGAGCCTGCGTTTCATCCTCCGCAGGTGGAGGTTGGGTGGAGGAGGACTCGCTCAGGAGGCAGCTCAGTGCTGCTGCTGCTGGAAGCTGCTGTCATGATCCTCCAATGGCTGTTGCAGGGGGGAGGGGGGAGTGGGAGTGCCGGAGGGTCCTGAGCGCCCCAAGTCATTTAGCATCCTTGCCCCATTCCACTGAGTGCCAGGGGTCGCCCCTGTGACAACCAGAAACACCCCTGCCGGCCCCTGGGTGAGCGGGACCTTCCCATCTCAGGGCTCCTCTCTGACGGTGACGCGTGCTTCTGCTCATCCCTCCTGTCCGCCCCTTCCCTGGTCTCTCCCCACTGGCACAGGGGCTCCCCAGGCCCAAGTTCCTGCACGAATCCTCATCCGTGTGCTGTTGAGCCTGGGGGCTGGCACGCACTAGGTGCTGGAACACGGTCCCTTGCTGGGGGGCCGCATGGACTGACTCTCCAGCTGCCCCACGCCAGGTAGCGCTGGGAAGGACACGGTGATTAACTTCGAATGTCATGTATACCTGTGGCTCAGGTGTCCCGGGGGCAGTTAATGGAAAGGAGTGGCAGTGCCCTTGGAGGGGCATCAGGTTGCTCACTGGCTGGAGGCCTGAGTGGACATGTCCCCTGGGAGACTTGGTGAGAGGGAGGGAGTCGGGTGCTTTGCCTGACCGACTGCAGGCCGAGGCCCAGGGAGGCGGGACTGTGGGGGAGTGGGCCAGGCGGCCTGCATCTTCACCAACCAGCCGCTTCCTCTCGGGGCCCTGATTGAGGGAATAAGGAGAGGAAGAGGATGGGCAGGTTGTGTAGTGGGGCACGCCTGAGGCCAAGACAACTGGCTGAGGACCCAGCAACGGTTCTGTAGTCACAATGATTCCTCATTTTGTTAATCATTTTATAGAGACTTCATAGCGTAGGCATCCCCATTTGACAAATGTGGGTATTGAGGTTTAGAAACTGAGGCAGAAATTCACCCGCCCCAGGAAGGGGAGAAGGCACAGCCTGGGGCTGTAGTGATCAGTGGTTGCTCCAGAGCCCGGGGGAGAAGGTCGAGGCCTTGCTCCCCGGTGCCTGTAGCTCTGGGCCTATGGACACGGTTGTGGGATGGGCACAGGGTGAGGAGGAGACAGAGGTTCCGAGTGGCCCCTCAGGATGGTGTCTGCTCAGCTAAATGCCAGCCACAAAGGGAACAGTCTGACACAGGCCCTTCCAAGTCCAAACCCAGCCAGACGTAAGCGCTAGAGCCTGGGAAGGAGGGGTGAGCTGTGATGGGGGGGTCACATCAGAGCTTCTGCTTTGTGCCAAGATGGTGACTTGAGGCTGTTGGTTCTCGCCCCAAAGCCAACCTGGAGAAATTGCAGAAGCAAGAGGGAAATACGGAATCCAGGAAACAGCAAACAAATCGGTAAACAAATCAGAGGAGCCCAGGGAGACTGAGGGCTGTTTGACTGTGTGGGGTGGACGGAGGCTGACCCTGGGTGGGGGGTGAATGGAAGTGGCAGTGGGAGAACAGGTCAGAGGAAATCTGTGTACCTTCTGCCCTTACCTCTCCCCAGCACGGCCTCGGGCGCTCCTTGCTTGCTCCTTAACTGATAAAGTGGGGGTAACAGCCTTGTTGGGAGGGAACTGAGGAAAACAGGTGTGGACAGACCAGCTGCTCACACCTTCTCTCCGTGAACCCCCACAGCTAGTTTGTTAAAAAACTAGACTGCCTTCTGTCAACCATGTTTCTCCGTAAAGGCTCAGAGATGAGGCCCCGACTCTCTCTGGTGACTGGGGCCCTTCTGGTGCTCATCCCACCCATCACCCCCTAGACACAGACACAGCCTTTGAAGACTTGTGACCAACAGAGTCGCTGACACCAGAGGGACGTGAACAGGCAAGTAAAGAGCCACTTGGAGAGGCCCCTCCTACAAAGGAGACAACACGCTGAACAGATGTACCAGCTGGACCAGGGTCAGGAGAACCAACGGACCATAGAGAAATATATTAGCAATGAAACAAAGACAAGGGATCACAAAGAAGAACAAATTAGTAAACTTGGAAGATCAATTTGAAGAACTCCCTCAGAAACAGCAGGAAAAGTTAGATAGACCCAAAAAACATAAAAGCTAAGAAATCACAGCTAGAAATAGAAGTACTGACATCTGATAATAGGGGCTGGTCAAGGAGAGAATTATATAAAAACTGAATGGAAGGAATATTTGAAAAAAATAATGGAGATAGAATTTTCTATAACAAACGAAGGATAAAAGGCCTTCAATTAAAAGGGCTCACAAGATAGTGCAAAACAGGAAAGATAAGGAAATGTGAAATCAGAAGCATTATAATAAAATCTAAGAATACCAAAGATAAAGGGATTACTATTTTTTTTTCCCCAGAGAGAAAGAAAATGTCATCCATAAAGTTACAGGAATCAGATGGCCACCAGCCTTCTCAATAGCAACATGGGATGATATTTTTGAGGTTGTGAAAGAACTCCGAACCCAGAGTTTTATATCTAGTGAAACTCATTCAAACTGGAAGAAATAAGAAAAAATATTCTCAGAGTTATAAAGCTTTAAGTATGCTACACAAAGACCCAAACTAAAAATGCTTTTGGAGGAAGTACTCAAATAAGAAGGAAAACAAGTCCAAGGGGAAATAATAATAATTTATTTATTTATTTATTTAAGCTATCAATAGGGATACATAATCATAAGTAAGGGTAACTACCTTGAAAACAAAAATAGAATGTATAACTTTTCAAACTAACAGAAGAAAACGTGATTTATTCAATGGAAAGCTGGAAAGGAGAAAACAAGCAAACAAAAGTACAATAAGTGAAAAATATAAAATAAGATAGTAGTAGAAATAAGCCTATAACAGTCATAATAGATGTAAATGCATGAAACTAATCAATTAAAACACAAAGACTCTCATATTGGGTATGAAAACAAGGTCTAGTAATACATGCCCCAAGAAGACACACTTGTATTTAAAAACACAGAAATATTAAAAATAAAAGATGACAAAAATATGACAAGAAAATAAAAGTGTTGAAAAGATATACCAGCTAAATGCACCAAAGTAAGTTGAGATAGCAATCCTAGTCATGGACAAAATAGAAATTAATGTAAAACACATCCCAAGAGACTAAAAGGGATATTAAATAACGCTAAAAGGAAAAATAGACAAGAAGATCCAGCCACCGTGAGCATATAAGCAACCAGTAAGAGTTTCAAAATACATCAAGCAACGACCGATGGAACTGCAGAGGGAAATATATAAATCAACAACTATAATAGGAGGTTCTATCACAGCCAATTTTGAAAATGATAGATCAAGCAGAGAAAAACAAGCAGAAAATAGAATAACCTAACTGGTAAGCTTGCACTTGTATAACATAACATGTGCTTCAGCTTATATTGCACTATATAGAGAACCCTACACTTAACACATTCCGTTTAAGCTGAGGAAGCAGTTATGACCATGAATTAGGTCATAACAGAAGTCTCAATAAATTAAATTCCATAGAATTAATAGCATAGAACTATGTGCTTGGATAGTAACGCAATAAAACTAGAAATGAATTAAATAAAGAGCTAAAACATCACACGTATTTGGAAACTAAAGAAAATGATATAACTCTTGGGTGTAAAAGAAAATCGTAAGGGAGGGTGGGGTAGGAAAGGCCAATGAGGGGAAAAGGGGGACATATATAATACTTTCAACAATAAAGATTAAAAACAAACAAAAAAAGAAAATCATGGGGGGATGTAAGAAATATTTAAACCGAATAGTAATGAAAGCACTGCCTCCTGGGGGAGTGTGTAAGTGAAACGTGTAGGCCAGCGGTTCTCAACCTGTGGGTCGCGACCCCTTTGGAGGTCGAACGACCCTTTCACAGGGGTCGCCTAAGACCATGGGAAAACACATATATAATTACATATTGTTTTTGTGATTCATCACTATGCTTTCATTATGTTCCATTTGTAACTATGAAAATACATCCTGCATATCAGATATTTACGTGACAATTCATAACAGTAGCAAAATTACAGTTATGAAGTAGCAACGAAAATAATTTTATGGCTGGGGGTCACCACAACATGAGGAACTGTATTAAAGGGTCGCGACATTGGGAAGGTTGAGAACCACTGGTGTAGGGTGACCAACCCATCCTGGTCTGACCAGGACTGTTCCACTTGGGGCTCTGAAAGTCTGGGTCCCAGGCAGACCAGGGTGGAGCTCGCCCTCATGTGTGTGGGTGTGTCCCGTGGAGCGCTGTGCGGCAGGGAGAAGCAACAGGTTGGCATAGCCAGAGGATGGAATTAACTCTGGTGCTCAGTGACACAAAGTAAAATATATAACACAGCACCATTTCAGTAAACATAAATGACATGCGCACAAGACAATGATAATCTTGTAAGAGCACCCAGGAAACCAAGAGATGCACATTAAACACATTAGAATGGTTGTATATGGAGGGAAGGAATGTGGGACTAAAAGAGAATGCACGCATACACACATGCATACACGCATAAAAACAAGAGCGGGCCTTGTAGGGACCAATGAGACAATGGGCCATACACTAGGGCAGTGATGGCGAACCTTTTGAGCTCGGCGTGTCAGCATTTTGAAAAACCCTAACTTAACTCTGGTGCCGTGTCACATATAGAAATTTTTTTATATTTGCAACCATAGTAAAACAAAGACTTATATTTTTGATATTTATTTTATATGTTTAAATGCCATTTAACAAAGAAAAATCAACCAAAAAATGAGTTTATGTGTCACCTCTGACACGTGTGTCATAGATTCGCCATCACTGCACTAGGGGAAAACGTAACCCTCTGAGCCTGAGGGTCAAAAGGGGAAAAAATGCTTTCCTGGGAGACAGTGGGAAGGGCACCCCCACTCCTAGAGAGAAAGGGGTGAGGTTTCTGTGAGACTGGCTTTGTTGGAAGGCGGGTGGGTCAGCCTGGGCCCTCCACAAACCCAGGGGGGCGGGGAGAGGAAAGCCCCTCCCCTAGGCCTGCTGGGCCCTGAGCTGGGGCTCACTTTGAGGCCTTCAGCACCAGTGGGCCTTTTCCAGAGAGAAGGAGAGGCCCTGCCGGGCAGCAGGCGGGGCTCAGCGGCCCTGCATGGGGCTCTCTTGGGCAGCAGTGCCTGAAGCAAACCGCCTCCCAGGATTTGGGGCCAGTGCACCCCCAGGAGGCAGGGAGGTGCTGTTCCCCTCTGGGCGCTGGGCGCAGGGCGCAGGGCACAGGCGCAGAGAATCCTACCTCGTCGAAATCAGCCACATCCTCGCAGTTCTCCAGGACCCGGGAGTGGAAGGACTGCCCTGGGTGGGAAAGAGGAGAGTTTAGAGTCAGACCTCCCTGCACAAGAAGCTTGGGGTTGGACCTCTAGACCTGCAAGTCGTCATGACAACATTGGGGAGCACTTGTTATCAACGGTGGGACCTCACTTCTGTGCGGTGCTCTCCGGGCGGGGCAGTTTCCACAGGGTCTGACTGACCTCAGCAGCCTCGCTGGCCTTTAGCTGCATTTTACAAACGGGGATACTCAGTTCAAGAAGGCACAAGGCTGGTTAGACGTGTGGGGAGGGGCTGCATCTGAGCTAATGAGGAAGAGGCTATAAAGCAGGAGCTACAGGCACAGGAAATAGATGTGAAGTAGACAGATGGGAAAGAAAGCCTCTTTAGCACTAGCCAGGGACAAAGCAAAACACCGAAAAAGAAAAACCTCAACAACAAACCGCGAGGCAGCCGGGGGAGAAGAGGGAAGCAGGAGACGCGATGCCTGAGCGTCTGTTAATATTCCCACGGATAACAGGCAATGTACACTGAGAATCAGGTGAGCACCTCTGTGCGCTGGGGGTTCCCCCAGGACCTGCCTTCTGATAACCAAAGGCCTCTCATCCTAGAAGGTCATAATGAGCTTTGGATGTGGCTGTGCTCAAGGGTCTCCCGGAATGAAAATGAAGCAACTCAGTGGGTGGGGGCCCGGGCCGTCGGAGACCGAGCCAGGGTTCCAGCTCTAAAGCCTGCTCTGCCCGCGTGTTTCCAATAGCCTGTTGGAGAGGATGCGGAACACAGTAAAATTAGCCATTGCAGAATTTACACACGAGGGCTGTTTCAGAACGCAGTAAAACCTCATTGCCGCAAGCCCTGGAGATTTTAAATGTGGTGAATATTGTCAAACAGACTGAGTTAAATTTTATCTCTAGATATTTTTTTTTAAAGAAAGGATTTGCTGAAACAAATCAAACCAATCATACAGCAACAGCGGAAAGGCCAATTTACTACGAGAACAGAATGCCTGGGGCATTTGCGGAAAGCCGCCTTTGAGGGGGTTTGTATCAACAGTGGCGGGGATCATTCCAGGGGTCCTTGCTAGTCCCTGGGACAGAGCCAGGGGGACCTCTGCCCTTTCCCCCAGTTCTCAGTGGGGATTGCTAACCCCACCTCTCTTTCCAAGTGCACTTCCACTAGCATCCACTGCACTCCGCACCATCCTGTTGAAATGCAGCTCCATTTTAAATGGCTCTGAGACAAAATGCTTTAAAATCCCAATATCCAATTACCTTTCTTGCCACAGAGAAGATTGGGAACAAGGCTTGAGAGAAAGAAAATCGCCCGTTCTCCGCGGTGGGGAGGCTTTCGTGGGCAGAGTGAGGCCATTAGATGGGAAATTAGACAGCGTCCTCCTCCCCGCAGAGGCAGCTGCTCGTGGGGTAGCTGAGCCGCTCAGTTTGAAATAAACTCGAGTCAATACATGAATTTGGACAGCGGACGCTGTGCTCACAGCTGTAAGTTGTGACACCGGATCTACCCAAATGGAGGGGCTTAACAGGAGTCCAAAGCTTAACAGACGTTACTTGTATGTCATTGGCCATTTTCAAATACCTGGACTGCAGCCACCCTCCGAGATGCAGGTGAGCTCAGCTCTTGTCTCCTGTGCAGGATGGAAGGCTAGCCTTTCGTGGGGCGTGACTTAAGGGGACAAAACATCCCGTCTGCACCAAACCGCTCCCTCTTGCAGACAGTTTACCTTGCTAGAGCCGGACCTGGAGCAAAGGCAGGCATGTAGGGACTGGGCTATTCGCCTATGCACATTCATTCATTCATTCATTCCCCCCTACTCCTGCTGTGTCAGCACAGCCATGGGTCCCTGGAGGAGGGTGGGGCGGGCTGCACAATGAGTTGGGATGGGGATGCTGCCTGAACGAGCCTATTACAATCCAGAAAGGGGATAGGTCAGACATATAAAAGGCTACTTACTATCTGAGGCAACATGTGGTGCTTGGCATGCAAATGGTGTAAATGAAGTGACAGCACAGGAAAAGGAGAGCTGGCCTCCACCTCCAGATCAAGAAGGTGTGGGAGAGGCAAGGGCTTTTACACGGGAAGGTTGTTGGATCAGCTCTGCAGAGAGATTGGGAGGAGGGAGAGAGAAGGGACATCCGGTGGGGAGCACAGTGTGAGCACAGTTTGGAAGCGTGGAGCAGAGAATGGGCTCAGGGCAGCGGAGTTGGACACAGGACAGGTGAGTTCTGATGGTGGAGGTAAAACGAGAAGGGTCTCCCCTCAGGGTCCACAGAAAGAAGACCCTGGGGCTGGGGGGCCCGGGTCCTGAGAGAGCACAGCTTGTGGTGCATCCAAAGGGGAAGGTTCTGAGGACAAGCTTCCGGGACATCATGTTTCTACGCAGGACCTGGCGCTGTGGCCTCTGTCAGCGCCGTTACTCTCTTCCCAGTGTGAGCTAGATAGAGAGTGAAGCCCCCTGCCTGTCACTCAGATTGTCACTGTTATTCCCTTTTGTTATTTAAAATCAGCAAAACCTCATTGTCAGCACCTGCTATCTGGAGAGTCCTTCATCAAGAGCCCCATTCCTAGCTGCAATGCTGTAACGTCCCCCAAACAGCTGCCTCTGCTCCTCCAGCAGCTCAGGAGTGGTGGCCCTGCTGTGATTTCACTCTCCCAGTTCCGATCAGCCACTTCCTCTCAGAAGGCCAGCTACTCCCACCAGTGCCAGGAAGCAGGGCCCCGGCATGCCTGTGTGCAGAAAAAGAGCCAGGGCCTAGGCAGGTTTGGGGCCCGGTGCCGCAGCTCAGGGCGGAAGGAAGCAGGGAGTGGGGCTGACTATTCAACCCCCCAGGGTCATCGTCTGTAAACTGAGACAGTTATCCTGGATCAGCCTGCATCCTGGAACCACAGTGAGGACCAGCAAGAGGCTGCTTCTGTGAGAGTCCGAGTAAAGCATCCCTTACAAGCACCAGGGGCCTTTGGGTACTGGGAAGGCTCAATGGCCCGCCTGCCTGAGTTCAAACCCTAGCTCTGCCACATGCTGGCCATGAGCCCTGGAAGAAGTTAGCCTGGCTTTGCCTTCATTACCTCATCTATAAACGGAGGAGATGCGGGTGCTCATGCACCTGGCGCGTTGTTCATCACCCGTGAAGAAAAGGCGATGATTCTACTAATAAGTCCTTTAGATAGTCACCTATGTTTTAAATATAAAAATGGTCTCCTCTATTATAAATCACTTTTTGTAGAGTATTTTTAGCAGTATATAATCAGGAACAATCTTCTTCCTCATCTTACATAATATTTTTCAAGTTTTAGTTATTTTAGGTGTGACTAGCTCTTTTTTTAACTAGATAAAATTTATGTTCACTGCTCTTAAGTGCACAAGCCGATGAATTTCGATAAATGCATATTCACTACAGACTCAAGATATAGTTTTTCGTCAATCAAATCAAATAGTGTGAGTCCTCCAACTTTCTTCTCCATTTTCAAATTGCTTTGGCTCTCCTAGATTCTTTGGGTGTCCATATAAATTTTAAAATAATTTTCAATTTCTACAAAATAGCCTGATGTGACTTTTATTGGGATGGTGTTCAGCCTGTAGATCAATGTGCGCAGATCTGACATTTGAACGTGCTGAGTCTTCCAATCCATCAATATCATATGTGTTCTATGTATTTGGGTTTCTTTTATTTCTCTCAGCATTTTTTTTCTTTTAGTGTGAAGGCCTTTCATGTCTTTAGTAAAATTTATTTCTAAATGTCTGCCGCTTTCTATGCTATTATAAAAGTAATTGCTTTGTAATTTCTGTTTTCCAACTGGCTGGTTTCTATAGAAATATAGTTTTTGTATATTAGGCTTAGATTCTAAAACCTTGCTAAATCCACTCATGAACTATGGTAACTTTTATGTAGAATCCTTAGAATTTTCTAATAACCCATTAGGTGTGTGTGTGTGTGTGTGTGTGTGTGTGTGAAAAGGAGCCATTTTAGTCCTTACTTTCCAATCTGGGTTTTTCCCTTGTGCCTTGTGGCTAGAATTCTGGTACAAAGTTAAGCAGAAGTAGTGAGAGTGGACAACCTGCCTTGCTCATGATCCTAATGTTCAATATTTCAGGATTAAGTATGTTATTATTTGGATGTTTTTGTAGTTTCCTTTATAAGATTGAGGAAGTTCTCTGTTCTTAATTTTCTGAGAGCTCTTATCATGAATGGATGTTGGGTTTTGTCAAATACCTTATCTGTGTCTATTGGTGTTTTTTTTTTTCTTGTATTGTGTTCTTCTTGTAAACTCACCTGGCATTCCTCAGGATAAAACTCACTTGTCATGCTCCTGGCTCCATCGGTGGCCTTACTGACCACCCAAGTAACCTGGTACAAAATTCAGAGCGCCCATATCCTGTCCTCTCACTCCCAACCCCAGAGCTGCTGCCCCCTTTCTGAACCCACGTCACCCCTTCTCTCCAAACCCACAGCCTTGCCCGCCGAGGCACAGCTCTCTGCCTGAGCCGCTGCCCAGCTTCCTCCTTGGGCTGTGGCCTGCAGTCCTGACCTCCCGAATGTTCTTTCTGAAACCATATCTTTCCGTTCTGTTCTCTGGCTCAGAGCTTTGGGACTCCCATTCACGTGCAAAGCCAAGTTCAAACTCCAGTGTGACCCTCTGTGTTTGGGCCCCAGGCTTCCTTCCACCCCATTCCCACCCCAACTGCAGCAAGCATTCCCTAAACCCCAAACAGGCCTCCTCACCTCTGTACTGATATGAACCTCTCTGCCTGGAGTGGGACTTCTAGGGGGTTTTGTCCCCCAAGAAGGAAATGCTGTCCTCTCTCAAGGGCCAGCTTTAACATCAGCCCATCCCCCACGGTAAACCTTCTCCCTGCGGCCCGTGAGCTTTGCCAGCTTCATCTGCTTGACCCCAGGGTGACCGACTTTGAGTGACCCGCCCTCACCCCAGTCACAGGTGCTCCTCTGCCATCTCTTCCTAAGCACCTCTCTCACCCTCAGGTGCTCCCAGACCTCCTGGCTATGGGCTTCCCT